GACAGACCATCTGCAGGGCTGGTCCCAGCAGACAGTTCCTCTTTCATCTCTGGGTGCAAAGAGAAGCAAAACTGGGGTTGGTGCCTGTGGAACAATGCAGTGCTGTGTACACACAGCCAGGGACCTGGGGAGACACTGCAGCTCTGGCTGCTGCTCTTGGATGCAAAACACTCGGTTTTATAATTCCAGCTTGACCACAAGTCCCTGCCTGACCACTGCTGTCACCTCCTTCTGTCTCTGCTTCCCTCCTCTTACTCTCACCATTTGGACTCTGGACCAGCACAGGACTAACCCTGATAATACAAAATAAATGCACCCAGTAAGGTAGAATAGGATTTAATCTCCACTGGTGGGTTTAAATATCACCCCACACCCCCATCCTGTCTAAACCCCACTTGAAGCTGAGACTATCACAGAGTCTGATCTCCTTTGGGGCATTCTCTGTCACACTTAGATCAAAACCCAAGAGGTGAGGAATCATTCCTGACTAGAAACACCTCCTTCCAGCAAGGTGGTGATCTTCAGAATGACCTGGGAGACATGGTGTCACCTGGCTTTGAGTCTGATTGTGGCTGGGCAGCTCAAACCCTGCTCAAACCCCTGCCATGTGGCCCACAGGAGCTCTTTAATAGCAGCGTCAGGAATTAGGGAGCCAACAGCAGCCCACGTGAGGCTCCTCTTCATTTCCTGAACTTCCCAAGATACACAGGCTCCCCTCCCCAGCCTTCCCTCCCCATGTCATTAGGATAACTGCTGCTCGAGTTCAAAAGGCTGCTGGCTTCCAAGCCACCAGGCCAGAAAAAGCTATCATTTCTCTCACTGTAATTTCTCTCTATGATTATAACAGTGGTTGCCTGAGTCAAGAGAGGCAATGTCAGCAAGAGATTTCACCCAAGGACAGCAGATACCAGAGAAGAAGCAGAGTGTGGGAGGAGGGGCTCAAATGTGTGTGGGAGCTGGCCTGGATGGATGGAGTTCTCACTGGGACATTAAACAGGCTCAGGGATCAGAGAGACAGTAAATATACAGAGCTTAACTTTTTCATCCCTTCTGCAGGGCTGGGAGCAGAAGAGGCAATCCTGCCCCTGCTCAAATCAGGGCAAGTTTTTCCACTGATTTTGATGGGGATTTCACCCATCACAGTTAATCAGCAACCAGACCATCAACAGGCTCCGAGAGGCCACCCTGCTCCTAGCAGGGATTCTTCCTCCTTTAACAGCTCCAGGGACTGGGTTATATCCTGGGGTATTAACCTAGCTCAGGTTGGGAAAACAGGGGCTCAAAAATAGGTGTGTCTTGGGCAGAGCCAGGCACTGGGCTTTGGTGATCCTTGGCGACCACCCGTTGCAATTCAGGATGGTTTGTGAGTCTATGAAAAATGCCATTTTTAGCTCACCGAAACTTTAGCCTCTTGTAAAGGGCAACTGCAGACAGAGTCCTTGTCCAAAACTCTGGAAGGACTGTTCTCTTTCCATGGAATACAGGGAAGTCTAGGGAAGCAACCAGAACAGGTTGGAGCGTATCTAATACTCTTCTCTCCATCAAAATTCTCCGTGGAGCATTCTGGAATTCTCCTTTCAACTTAATGCCCAAAAAATGATTCTGACATTTCAAAAGGGCGAGAATCCAAGTTTTTTTCCCAGAGCAATGTTATCCTAAAACCCAGAGGAGGGCTTTTCAGCTAACATACCCACACCAATATTTTTCTAAGGTGGGGACCAAGAAAAGGACTGTGCAAATTGTCACTGCAGAAAAACAAAGATATCACAATACGTCATTTCAGGCAAAACCAACTCTGTTTGTTCCTCTGTTAGCAAAGTCAGCTGGAGCCTTGCCTTTGGCACTGCAGAGGGGAGAGACAGAAGGATCATAGCTGGAATTCCTGCTCAGATGGCCTCAGGGGAGCCAGCAGAAAAAGCAATCAGCCCTAATTCCTGAGTGGAGCAACCTAGGGAGAGCTCAGGAAAGCAAGGGACAGAGAGACAAAAGGGCAGACTTGGATCCTCATCCCCAGCCCCCTTTCCCTGATCGGCTGGGAAGTCCTGGATTGGAGCTCTATCTGCTTCCCACCTATGGGTAAATCTCCCCTGGTGCCACACAAAACACACAATTGTTCCATTTGACACCAGGACCCATCTGATTCCCCCTCCCTGACGCTGCAGGGATTAATTTAGAGGGGAACAAGCAAATGAGGACAGGGCTTGGAAATAACATGTTACATCCCTGTGCATTCCTTGGATGTGTCTGCCATGAGAATTAAAGGGGCAACATTGAATTTGATCTGAGCTGAAAATGAGTTTCACCAAAGCAGATCCTCCAGATGAAGTCCTAGCACTGCAGATCGATGCCAAAACTCACCAAAGTCAGAATTTCACCCACAACTTTTATAAACCGACCATCAGTGGAAACCTGTCCAAGGTTCTTGGTTCAATTTCACTGAAAACTGCATGCAAAATAAATATTTCCCTAAAATGATTGTAAAGTAAACAGCCTTAAAGTGCCCTCCAGCAAAAAAATGTGAAATAAATTGAAGCACGAAGCTAAGGAAGCTGTTTGTGTGCCCAAAGTGAGGGTTATGCATAGAGCAGAGAAACAGATGGAGTAAAGGTATTTGTAAATAAATCATACAAAGTTTGCTTAAAGCACTAATGAGGAAACTGGTTGGTTTTTTCCACAAATCTCACATCCAAAAAGAGGTGGTTTTTTCCTAAAAAAGACTGAAGGACAGAGACACAGCTGGATACAAGTCCATGGGAGGAGCAGATTCCCCTTCCAAAATCTCAGCATTTAAAGCATACAATGAGATAAGAGTGTCATTTTCAGGCTGCAATTTGTGATACTGTGAATCCAGTTCACTAAATATTGTCCTCTTAATCATAAGAGAAAAAACATTGCCAAATCCACCACAACTCCCACCTGCTCGGAGGAAGCCCAAGGGCCACTCACCAAGAGAGTGCTCACCACAGCTTCACTGTGGAAGAGCTTTTTCAAATGCTGTAATTTTGCTCAGAGAAACAGCTGAGCTGACACAGAGCAGAGGCTTCAAAGCTTTGAAGTCTACTCTGGATCATTCATCCTGCTTTCCACTGCTCCAGTTGCTGATTCCCACCCATCAGGAATGCCTCTCCATCATCCTATTTAGTCCAATTAGTCTTTGCTGCAGTCTCAGGAAGATATTTTTTGTTTTTCAGAGATGATTTTGTATTTTTATGTCTTTATCTGAGATACTCAGGATGGTAAAGTTTAATCCCTAACCTCCTCTAAATGGTTTGCTCATGGTCATAATCCAAATTATGCTCACTTCCACAGCTGTAAGAGGAGAAATTGTAAAATGGGGTATTCTCCTCCCACCTTCCCAATTCAGAAAAGTGTTACATTAACATTAGTGAGGTATTCAGGTACTACAGATGTAAAGGCAATAAATATTTACACACATAAAGGATTTCTGAAATAGGAGGCTCTGCAGCCAAAGGGCTACTCCATAAAAAATTTGCCAAACCAATTTCTACTTTCAAAAAGTGCCACTGAGGGGAACAGTGCTGCTGAAAGGTCACATGCAGATAACAGAGAATGTTTTGATCTAATTCAACTTAACAAGGAAGAACAAAATGATAATTCAAGTGTGAACCAGGTACTCTAACAAAGGAACAGCCAATGAAACAAAGTCAATGAACTGAGGCTGAAAATAAAAAAAAACATGTCAGTGTTATTAATTTAAATTGACAGCAAGGATTTGAAGGAGAACTGGGTATTAGTGTGCACAAAGGGACCATCCACAGCCACATCCCCTGTGTGGGTGAGGTTATCTACAGACACAAACCTCACACTCTGGAGTGATGATGTTATAGAAAATAATTTCCCAAGTTATTTTAAGACTATTTCTTTGAAGCATCAGACTAAGACCTACTTCCAGCCTCCTGTCAGTCAATCCAAATCCACCCACGGGGCCAGGGATCAAGGACTGCTCCTGATCACACTCTGGGAGGTGAGGGTGTTCCAGTCCACACAGAGCTTGGTTTGAACTGAGGAGAGTTAAACTGGTTCCTGCCTGTGCCTAAGATCTCTTTATACCCAGGGACTGGACAATAGACACTAATACATGTTCTGAAACAGCTTCTTTTATTCCTCTGTACCTGAACTCCCCTCCTGTGGAACGGCAGCACCTGAGAGTACATGAAAGACTATGAGTTGCTCAGATTCTGGATCACTTCACACCTTTATCCCTCATTCCCACATGCAGCAGCAGAGCCTGGGACACCACCACTGCAGATTTTTACACCTGATCAGCTGCCCTGCAACAGAAGGGTTTCTTTTTTTCCTCTGACTCTAAGAAATACAAGGTTACAACTATGACATGTTTGTGGAGTTTTAAGATCCTGTGGCCAACAAAGCAGGGACACATAGCCTGGAAGTCATTCCTGAGGCATTTTAGAGGCAGAAGGGAACGCCAAAAGTATCTAATACTGCTGCCAGCACAACAGTCAGTCTGCCTTTTTTATCTTGAGGTATTTTCACTTCACAATTCGTCTCTTCCTCCAAAGGAGGAGATGAGCCCAAGCAGAGCTACACTAACAAAAATCCTGGTGGCTAAAGCAAATCCTGAAATAAGTGGCCCAGTTTTCAAAGACACACTGAACACTGGCATCAGGCTTCTGGGGGGAGATATCTCCCCACAGACAGGGGACCAAGGCACAGGAATGTGGGGGGTCTGCTCCTCACTCTGGAGCCAAAGGTCACAGAGACACTGGTTCCAGCAGCAGCAGACCCAAAAACCTGTTGAAGTCACACCACCAGCAAGGGAAGACAAATGAAATGAGTGACATCTGCAAGACGGGGAAATACTGGGGTCCTGCTTTTTCACCCCTATTCCCACAAGCTTTTCCTGGCAACCTGGCCAGACATCACCCACTGCTTCAGAACAAGGTGATTCCCAAAGCTCCTGTTCTTATCTGGGAAAGAGAAAAGCCCAGCTTCGCTGGAAGAGGAAAGCAGGTACTTACTGATCATGGTGGTGCCCCCAGCCAATGCAGCCTTGGTCCCTTGGAAGAAATCATCAGCAGATGTCATCCCCTGCTCTGGCATCTGGAACCGGGTGTGGACGTCGATCCCTCCAGGAATCACCATCCTGCCGTGGGCCTCAATAGTTTTCACTCCTCCTGGCACGATCAGGTTCTCCCCTATTTGCCTGGGGAAAGAGGTTTTGAGGAGCAGGTCAGGCACACCCAGGTGAGCAGCCTGTAAACAAACACCCCTGTGCTACTTAGCCTAGCTGCAGTTGACTTTTTCCATATAAAGCAGGGCACAGGATCAGCACACACAGGGCTGAGGGTGCTTCGTTCTTCCCGTGGCAGCAGTTGCATAATGGTGAGTTTAGTGTGCAATTCCTTCAGGACTTTGGGGCAACATTAAAGGAAGGAAAAGAAGGAGCCCCTCTGGAAAGGGCTGTGCAGGTCATGGATGATCACTGCACTCAACACAGCTTTCCTGGGGCTGGACTTCTTAAAGCAGCAGCTCAACACTTGATTCCAGCTCTCTTAACAGCAATTGGTTTGGGAACACTGAAAGAATTTTTGCTTCTTTATTTTCTACCTTCCTCTCACGTGTAAGTATTACAGAGTCCCCACATGAACATAAATTCAAGCAGATATTGGTTACCAAATTCCTGGTGAGACCCTCAGAGGTCTCTCCAGTCCAGCTCTTCACAGACCTATTTTTAGCAGTGCAGTAGTGGATGCAATTAATTAGCTGTCTCTGGCTGGCTCCTTTAACTTTTAACCTTGATTTAAAAAGCACATGTGCTGGCTGTTTAGCCAGAACAGGAAAATTCCTTGTTTGTAGCCTCTGGCTTATCTGTTTTTTCCTAGGAGTAATTTTCCAAAGAAATCTGTAACACATTTAATGTGCCAGGAACACATGTTCCAGGCCTGAAAACACAGAAAGAGGTCTGAACCTCTTCCACTACAGGGTCCTTTTTTACTTGAAGGGGGGTTGGTGTGATCTCTGCATCACAGACCCAGAGAAGTCAGCACTGCGAGAGACTTCCAGAGGTCACCTAAGTCCAGCCTCCAAGTCTAAAAGAGAATTGTGTTAGGATGCTGAACTCTGAATTCAAAATATCTGAAGTCATAACTCAGTGAAACTTTACAGCACAGATAACTTCAAACACATGTGTCATCTCAGCATGGGGCTGCTCTCATGGCTAAAATTAAGCACATGTAAGTACCTCCTTGGAGCCAGCAGGGTTTGGGCCCGGTTGTTTATTTATTCAATACCCTGCTTTTAAAGCTCCTCCATTAAACAACAGGATAGATGTGGAAATATTCATTTTTCACGCAATTTAATAGATTGAGATTAAGCTATTCCAGCCAATCTGCAGTGCATTTCTGTACATACCCAATCCCACCATGAGGCTTCACTTACTTTATCAACCCATCCTCCATGTAAATGTCTGCATAGAAGGACTGGTCGTCATTAACTATTTTGCCACCTTTGATCAAAAGACGATCGCTCTACAACAAAAGAAGCACAGCACAAGACACAATTATTCAATGGGAGAGCTGACAGTCTGCAGTGTCACTCCAGAGATGAAAGAGGAGGGAAGGCAACAACCTCTGCATTATTCACCAGCACACATCAAAACACGAGTCAACTGCTGCACTTTCAACTGGAAAGATAAAATGCTTTATTTCATCTGCAAGGCCTTTCATCACTGATGAGCCAAAAAAAAAAAAAATCAGAATGAGGAAAGAGGTGGGTTCCAGTGATCTTACCTACTCTGGCAGCTCCCGTCCTACCTGAAGCCTGCCACCATCACCTGCAGCAGCAGCACTAAATAACATTTGGAAGGATGTGTTGAACCACATCTCTTATTTCTCTCAGCCTTGGTCGTACGCAAAATTTCCTATATGCACCCACACAGTGGAGTCACTGCTTGGCTCAGTGTGAGTCAACTGCTGTCAGGGAAATGGCCCAAAAGTCTGTTGCCTGGGGTTACACAACACAAACAAACTCCTTTGGTCCACTTCAGTGATGTTTTGATGCAGTGGATCCAGAGCACCACTGCAGAACCAGATGGAAATATGCAGATATTTAGCAAATTAGGGTTAAGGGAAGGATATACAAAACGGTTATTAAAATTTCCTCAAATTAAAGACAGTTTGGCAGGAACAGGAAGGTAATTATAAAAAGGCAGCTATCAGGCAGCACAAATTTATCCCAGCCAGGGTTACAGCTTGCTTCTGCAAGATTTCAGGTCAAAAACAAATGTTGGCTTTTGTTTTGGGGTGTTTTTTTTCATTTTTTGTTTTGGTTGTTTGTTTGTTTGGTTTTTTTGCAGTAGTCATAAACAAGAGTGAAACCCACTGCAGAGCTCCTGATGGGGAGGAGAGTTAAAAGTGGCTGCTACATCCCCCTGGTTCCTGCATTCCCCACATCACAGATGCATTTTTACAGCAGATGAATATTTAAAGCAAAGCACATACATGGTGTGAATCTTTGGTTTAAACCACAACTTTGGCCCTCAGATCTGTGCTTGTACTTACTCTGATTCTTTCCTCCTTTCTCACAGAAACACCTTTGGAAGAGAACAAAGCAATACCAGCACAGCCAAAGGCTGGGGAAATCAAAAACTGGACTTTTAACTCAGAGGTGCCATGGACTTACAGAAAATATATGAAAAATTTACAGAAAAATACATATAAAACAGTGACGGGGTACTCAGGGCCCTGATTTTGAAGTGCCAGCTGCACTCGTTGAACAGAAGGAACAATCAGGCATTTTCCCAAATTCCTCATAATAAAGCTGAAGAGTTGGAGCACCCAATTCTCAACTGACACGGCTCTTTTAGCACCAAAAGGGCTCCAAGAATTGTATCAGATACTGATTTATACCATTAGATCCATCTTTTGTATCACTGCTTAACATCTAGAAGATGTTAAGCCCATCTCCCTCCTTTTCTGCTTCTCCTTCCTCCTCCTGCTGCAATGGAGAGATCCCCTGGATAATGCCACTGATTTCAAATACAAAGAAACCCCCAAAATTTAAATTTAGGAGCTGCTGCAAATGCCAATAAGCCTGAGTGAAATAATGCGGGGTGTGAAAAACCCACTTGTCTTTCAATACCAGCCTCTCCAGCAAACTGTCTACATGTTTACCACTTCCAGAAATACTGCAGTGTTGATGCCCACCTCCACTGCAGGCTCCTCGTGCCATTAAAATGGGAAAGCCTGGCCATGGATGTCACCACCATCCCAAGTCTTCACACACTGGGCATCAATTAGGGAAGAAGAAGGGAAAAAATATATGTAAAGTGGCCACAAAAACGCAGCCTGGAGCATTTTAATGATGCTTCTGGCAGTAACCAGGGCTGCTGCTGGGCTCCTGAGAGGGCTCTGAGATGAGGATGAAGCCTCCTGCTCATCTCAACCACCTTGGAGACAAAAGCACACGCAGCTCGCATCCCTGCGAGGGCCTGCCACCAAATCTGTGTCTATTCAGCAGCAAAATCAGGGCAGCCACACATCCATTATCCTCCTTTTTCCAGTGTTAGCCTCGGCTGATAATCCCAGGTTCACACAACAGCAAACAGAATCTGATTTTTCCTACTCCTTTGCAGGAGGATTGGGTGCACAGAACGTAAATCAGAGCATTCAGCCAGAAGAAAAATGCGTCATGCTACTCCTGGCCCGTGAGAGGGATTCAGCAGGAACCTCCATCACCCTTTAAACAGAGGCAGCTTTTTTAAATCTTTACCATTGGACTCTTGGAGGGAAACGGACTCCCCTTTCCAGAGAAAAAATAATTTTAAAAAAGAAGGATGCACCATTTATCAATAACCATTTTGCACATCCCCTGCCTCCCTTAAGCACTGCAATTGTACAATCCAGCGATTCCTGCCCAAACCCGACACGTCAAAGCCCCGTTTCAGAGCTCCTTTTCCTGCCCCCGAGGATGAGGAAGGAGGACGGGGAAGGGTGTGTCCGTGGGGAAGGTGAGGAACCGCTGCCAAGGATGAAAAACTCCTGTGTCCAAAAAAATAAGCGGCTCCAGCAGCCCGTTAGTCGAGGATATCTTACGTAACCAAAAGTTGGTACCCTTGGATCTGCAATACCTGCCCTAAATCGGCTCCCACAACAAGGAGACCGAGGGAGGGGTTTATATAACGGCTCCTTCCCTGTTCCCCCAGGACCGCACCGAAACCTGCGCCTTGCCAGAAGCTTCCTGGCGAAGAAAAGGCAATCCTGGAGAATGCCCAGCGCCAGCCCGCCGGGGACCGGGGTCTCGAGCTGATGCCCTCGCCCGGAGCCGCCCTTCCCGGGCTGGGGCGGGCGGGGATGGAGCCCCCGGGAAAGCACCGAGCCCCTCCTAGGCACAGCCCGAGGGCCGGGAGAGCCCCTCCGGGCACAGCCCGAGGGCAGGGACCCCTCCCCGGGCACAAGCCGGGGCTCCCCGATGTTCTCCCGGGGCCGGCGCTGCCGCTGAATCCGCCCCCGGCCGGGGCTCAGCCCCGCCGCGCTGCAGCACAGGAAGCGCCGCATTATCCCTGATCCCATTATCCTGCCCCAGCCCCGCATCGCTCCGGCACACAAAGGGCTCCATCCCCGCGCACCCCTCCCCCTTCCCCGCCGCTATTCCCCTGCGCTCCACTCACCGTGATCCGCGGAATATTTTTCTTCCCCTGATAAGACATCTTGGGAAATCAGCCCCCGATGTATTTATTCAGTAATGTTATATGTTTGTTAAAGAGAAGCGCGGCGGCTGCTACACCGCTATTGTCTCCCGCGCAGCAACTGCTCCGCAACCTCCCCTCCACCAGTGTGTAGATCAAGGGGAAAAAAAAAGAAAAAAACAAAAAAAAAACCAAACAAACAAACAAAAAACCACACCAAAAAAAAAAAAAAAACAGAACAAAAATAAATCCCCCGAGACCAAATCACTGCGATCCCAGGGAAGGGGAGCGGGGGGGGGACGCGGCGCGAGAGGTGATCGGTGCTCTCCGCAATGGCAGGAACGGGAGAGGCAGCCAACCCTGCGCGCCTCCCTTTCTTCCCTGCGCCCGGAGCCCGGCCCAGCCCAGCCCGGCCCAGCCCCAGCCAAGCCCGGCCCAGCCCCGAGCAGCGGCGGGGCGGGAACTGCGCATGCGGCCCCGCCGCTCCAGAGCCCGTCCGCCCGGCACGCCGCGCCATTGGCTGAGCGCCCGCTGGGATGCAAATCAACGGCGGTCTCTGCCCAATGGGAGAGCGGGGGACGCGCAGGAATGTAAATGAGCGGTGGGAGGGGCTGCGCGGTCCCGGAGCCGGGGCGCGGGAGCGGGGAAGCGGAGCGGGGAGACGTCGGGATGTCTCGGGATATGTGGGGATATCTCGGGGTACGCGCACCGGAATCCATCGGGACACGCCAGGCACTGCCCGCCCGGCCCCCCGCTCCCACCGAAACGCTTCCTGGGGGCCCCGGCTTAGTGGAGCTGCAGTGCTGGGCGGGGCAGCGGCGGGGCTCTGCGAAATGACCCCTTCGGGGATGCCGGCACCCGTTTTATTCCCCGCCGCAAGATCCCCGGGAGGAGCGGAACAACCCCACTATTCCCGGATGTGCCGACCCCGCCGAGCATCCCCCGCTGAGGCTGTACCCCATCCCGGGAGGAGCAGGAGCTATCCCCCATTCCCGGGGCTGCGGACAGCCCCCGCATCCGAGCCCCGCACGGAAAGAGCAGAGGATGCCGGTGGGGAACTCGCTGCTTTCCATCTTCTTTGTCCTACCCCACCCTTCCTGGCTCTCCCAATTAGCAAATGGGGGTGGGGGGGGAATGAAGATTTGAAGCCACTCCCGACGCTTTGTTTTCCCAGTCTACCTTCTCCCACACCTCGTCCAGAAAATCCAGCCCGGATCCAACCCCCCCCCCCAGACACCTGTGGTCACTAACCTGAAACCTTAGTGCCAGGGAAATGTGGGCTCAGAGCTACGCACCCGGGCGTGGGGGTCCTCTCCATGGTCCCTCGGGCCATTCCTTACTACTCCAGTGCTGCCAACTCCATGTTCCATGTTTCAGTCACACTTGGAGTCAAATTTCTCAGTCCCTGAACTCCATAAGCTGGTACTTCAAGGAAAGAAATGCATTAAATGGCATAAATATCTCCTCATTGTTTGCGATGCACTTGTCCCAGTGCAGGGAAAGGAGGTGGGATCCGTGGCCAAGCAGGTTCCTCTGACATCAGCTGTGCTGGGGTAAGGTACAACACAATTTTTGGAGAACTCAATGCCACAAATTCACTTCTGCTTGAAGATTATAACTAATAATTAATGATCAAAAACTTACCTTCTTCCCTTCACGATGAATTTCACATCACACAAACTGCATCTTTGCCTGCCACAAAACTGTGATCTCTACATACTCAAACACACCATGCACAGCCAGTAAGAAATGAAACCTTTGGTCTAGGAGAGCAACAAATCATTATAAAGACAACATCTGTTCAAAAAGACTCCTGTCAGGACCTTTTGTGTTCATTTCTTCACAGGAAGCTCTAAGGAATATAGGGAAGTAGTTTTTCCTGGGTATAGGTAGGATATCACACAACACTTAAGGACCTGATATGTCAATCAGCTAATATCCAATTAGCAACAAATGAAAAAGTGGCTCATTATGACAGTGACAAAATTTTTAATTTGTCAGCCTGTAGGGTTTATTTTTATTTAATGATTAGAATAGACAATCCTGAATGAGTTATCCTGAGCCTCTGATGTGTGCTTGAAGAAGTTTTGAAACCTTAGCATATTTTTGCTCAGAACATGGCAGCAGAAATCTACATCAGGTCTCTAAATTTAGACAGTGCAACTGTTCCTTTTTTTTCTCTTTGATGCTTGTTTTCCGCCTCAGTTTAATATCTGAATGGTTCCATGCCTTTTATTTGCAGGTAGGAGAGTACCAGAGAGGAATCACACACTGCCCAAGGTTGGGAGCTGGCACCCAGGCCTTGGGCAGTGGATCACCAGCACACCTAGAGCCTATCTCAGCTGCCCAAACACACCTATTTCAATTTTTTTTTTTTTTTTTTTATTTTAAGAAGGCTTCCTACTGCGCATGGGCTTCATTCAGAGCAGCAGTTCTTGAACGCTGAGTATTCCATAATCATATATTCCATAACTTGGACCCAGCAGTGACTAGGGTCAGAAAGCAATAACCAATCTTCAGGTGACACTTAGCTTGTCTTTCTCATCACTTGGTTGCAAGAACCTAAGTAATACAGAATGAAATAAATTCAGAGATTAAAGGGCTGGAAAGCCACAGTTGTTGGAGATGCAACATCTACACAGCACCACATTTTTTAAACTTCCATGATTTAGGACTAGAACTGAGCTCCCAAGTGTAGATCTTAGCTCCATTACAGCACACCAATATGCCCCAACTTTCTTTGCTTTTACCAATGAGCTAAAACACTGTCAAAATATGTAATTTTTAAATTATTGTAGTTGCAAACTGGCTTATTTAGCCTTGCTAAAAAAAGGTGAGGAATGGAAATTGCCTATATTGTATAATCTCACATGAGGGGAGGGGACGAGAAGAGCCACTGGACAATGTTGGGATGACAGCCTGGAATTACTTAAGTGCATCATTTTGGTTGGTTCTGATAGAGCTTGGAGCAATCTGGTCCAGTGGAAGATGTCCCTGTCCATGGCAGGGGGTTGGAACTGGATGAGATTTAAGGTTCTTTCCAACCCAAACCATTCCATGATTCTCTGATAAATTCCTCTGGTAAATCTCTAGTTTCTGCATAAATTCCCCTAGAAGTTAAATGAAGAAAAGTAACTGTTTATGAAACATCAGAGGCAGGAGTTGGGTCCTTTGATAAAAGAAGAGAATTTAACTTCCTCGTTAAATCCTGGCAGGGCTGGATCCAGCCTTGCTGCTCTGCAGCAGTGCTAGAATATTTTGAGAAGTGATGGAATATCTGGATACTGCTGATGCCCTTTGTCTTCCACAGGTCTCTTGATGCACACAGGGGGTTGAACAGGATAAAATTAAAGGTGCCACATTCATGAGCACTGTCTAATCAATGCTAATAAAGGGAAGGACAAGAGTGTCCCTGACCCATCCTCAGGCTGCAGGTATTTGGGGGAATATTGGCCAGGATCATCAGCAGCCCTTCCTGCCCAGCTGCTGCAGCACTTCTTGTGAGGCTCTTGGCAGCAAAAACTTATTTCATGTTAAAGGAGCATATATATGTCTAAATTTATATCCTGCAAAGGTCTAGAGGGAAAATGGTGCAGGAATATGAGAATCTCTGTGCAGTGATAATCTATGCTAAAATCATCAAAATAAATCTGTGCTGAAATCACCACAGGCATCAGAGGAAATCAATTTACATCAGCTCTGAATCTTAACTCATAGATTCTGCAAACTGCCATAAAGCACTTGGAAAAGAATTTTATTCCCACTGTGGAGTTACTGGATGGGTGGGAAAAGAAATATTAAAAAGAGTTTCTTCCTCTGTGGAATTTTAGTGTAATGGCAACAAAGCCCACAGAATTTCTGCAACACCCAAATTGCTTCTACTCCTACTGAATACTTAAACGTGTGTCCACAATGGCATTTTGCCATGAAATTAAAAAACCTGCAAATGGAAATATCCATTTTAAAACTTAATGAAAAGAGGGATCAGAGATGGATTTAAATAAACTGGGCCAAAAGAGTTTTAAGGAGTTCACCCATTAGGCCCTAATTTTCTGTCATGATCCTGCCAATGCCAATTGTTGCATCAGCTCCAACTCTGAATGATTTTAAAGGAGTTTTCCATGGATCCAGGAATATCCTGCATCCTAGGAAGTGTAGGGAGAATTAAATCCAGGCTGATACATGGTAGGAGAAGTTACATCTGTCCTTCTCAAAGGATTATGGAAGAACTGTCCTTTATTAATCACAGCAAATTAAATTACTGAGGGGAATTGTACTTGACAATGAGCATCTCTTGCTTTATTATCTTAAAGGAGAAAATTAAAATTAAGAGTCATAGTGTAGAAATGACCATGGGGGTCAAACATGTTACTATGAGGAGGTAAAAATCATACATCTTCTCAGAGAAACAGCCTGATTTTTTTGCATACAGACTATCCTTTTTTTTTTTTTTTGAGGGTAAGATTCACTTTCTAGCCACACAAACAGGTCAATCAAAATGTACATTTGATCTGCAAATTAAAATGAACCTTCCAATTGATTTTCTTTCTTTTAATATCCAGAGAACCCTTCAGGAGGCTCAAAAATAGCATTTTAAGAAGGCTGTTAGTGTTGGAGTGTGTTTCTTAGAGGAAATGTCCTGAGTACCATGATGTGAATTATCCTTAAACAATCCCAGCAATTAAACAATTCCCCATCATGTACCCGGGAACGAGCCAGGCTCTCTTCAGGGTTCTAGACAGGGATTGCTCTGTCAGGGGTTATACAATCCACAGAAAAAATGTGCTATTCTCTCCAAACTGCTCACAGCCACATCCTGCCCTGACCTGCACCACAGCTAAATGCAGAATTTCTGGAATAAAGGCATGGGACATTCAGGCCTCACTGTCAGTGCCTCTCCCTTTCATCCTCTGGCACCCCCGGGCCCATGGGAAGCATGGGTAGGTGCTAAGAAATTGCTGTTTTCAGTGATTGTACAGTTTTTTAACATTATAATCCCTTCTCCTTCCCCAAAAACGTAGAGGGCAAAGCATCAGGCACTCAGCCACTACTGTGCCAGCCAGCTTTGCCTTCCTCTGAGGTGCAGGATGATCATGACTCAGGGAAAAAATGGAATTTTGACCTGTATTTTCCCACACTGAGAGTCATTCCTGCTCTTTGGGAGGGGATCACAGGACAGGACATTGATAATCACACAGGAGTGCCAAGAAGTTTGGATTTTGCTGGTTTTCTGCTCCCAAATGCTGTTGTTTTATAAGCTAAGAGAGTTCATGAGGACACAAGCCCCCAGACCCAATTGAATTTTGCTGACAACATCATTTTCCAATTTTACAACAACATCCCAAGAGATACACCCAGATTTGATGTGCCACAAGACAGACATGTGATACAGGGAGTCAGACAGTCCTGCAGGTAAAAAACCTCTGGCAGACCCTAAATGACTGCTCAGCCCTACTAAAACCAGATGGGGCCTGTTAAATGGTGTCCAGGGAGGTGGCATAAGGGTGGCACACCAAACTGCCACTCCCATGTGCCAGTAATTGCATTTATCCCTTGGGATGCAGCCTGTATCAGCTCCAAGCTGAGCAGGGAGATCTGGCTCCAAGTGTTTAAATTTTCCCATCAAATCTTTAACCAAAATAATCCATTGGCTGTGTATCAAAACCCCTTTTTCATTCCTGCATGGAAGTGTGGTATTAGTAAATTCTGCATATAAAACCACTCCACATGACACCCATTGGATGTATAGAACAGCAGCTGTGCAGAATGATGGCTTTCAGAAGAAGTTAAGAGGATTTTGGCATTTTTGCTCCTCACTGTTGGTTTTGGGGTTTTTTTTTTTTTCCCCCACAAACCATCCTGACCTATTGGAAGAATATGCAAGTCATCCTCCCTTATGATTATTTTGCAAGCAATAATTGTCGAAACAAGGCTAGAAAAATTGCAGGCATTGTAACAAATTAAACTCAGGACTGCATTTCCAGCTGTCTGGAACAGCTCCTTTGTTTTAGACAACAGTTCCATTAATGTTCCAGAGTCTGTGATTATTTGAGCTCTCAACAACATCCTGTTATTCATTATTTCTCTCCAGGAATGAACAACCATGATCCTGAGAGCTTTGAGGTTTTAGGAAAAAGTCCAGTCATGT